AGCCGGTAGGTTTAATAAGAGAAATGTGGTTATATTTGATTGGGGCGGCGGTACTTTAGACGTGTCACTGCTTACCATAGGTCATGGCGCCTTTGACGTGAAGTCCACTGCTGGAGACACTCACCTTGGAGGTGAAGACTTGGATAACAGAATGGTAAATTACTGTGTCGAGGAGTTCAAGAGAAAGCAAAACGTGGACATTTGTGGAGACGCCAAAGCTCTTCGGAAGGCCAAAACTGCCTGTGAGAAGGCAAAGAAGGCACTTTCGTTTTCCTTTGACACTGATATTGAAATCGATTCTTGGTATAAGGGTGAAGATTTTCACACAAACTTTACCCGTGACCTATTTGAAGAAATGAACATGGATATCTTCAACAAGTGCATGGAGCCTGTGAAAAAGTGTTTGGAAGATGCCAAAATGGATATAACCAATGTTGATGACGTCGTTCTTGTTGGTGGATCTTCTAGAATTCCCAAGGTGCAAGAGATATTACAGGAGATTTTCAAGGGAAAGGAGCTTTGCAAGAGCATGAATCCGGATGAGGCCGTGGCTTATGGAGCTGCCGTTCAAGCTGCAGTCTTGAGTGGAAATATAGCTGGGAAGCTTCGAGACTTCACACTCTCCGATGTCATTCCTATGTCTCTTGGAATTGAAGTGGATGAAGAAGAACACATGAGTGTTGTGATTACAAGAAACAACAAAATTCCCATTAAGAAGAACAAAAGTTTTACAACTCTTTATGACAACCAAACTGTTATCTGCTTCCGAGTGTTTGAGGGTGAGAGTGAATTCACCAAAGATAATAATTATTTGGGTGGATTTACCATCCATGACATTCCTCCAGCTCGTAAGGGAGCTGTTAAAGCAGATGTTTGTTTTTCTATTGATGAAAATGGTGTCCTGACTGTTTCCGCTGAGATCTTGTCCACCGGCCAAAAAAAAGCGATCACAATCCACAGTGACAGGTAAACTCTTGGGGATTAAATGGGTGATGTAAGTAAATGATATATAAAACGATATATGCAATGCAAAATAACATTTTTGGGGATTATAACATGGTTTTACTAAAATTCTTTCATCAACTGTTTTACTCGTGCCAGGTGAGCGCAAGTGTTCGCCAACGGATTGTGTTGTTTTGAGGAGGGAGGCAATGGTTGGGCACTATCCCTTTTGCTGGCCGTTCGGCCGTGCGTGCATTGTTCTGTCATGCGGTTTTTTATCCTAGAAAATATTTGTGTGGGTTTATTCTTGTTTGTTGTACCTTGCTTGATTACTATATACAGTGATGAAATAAATTATACATGTTTCTGTGCTCTATCATATTAGATGATATACAACAGGCATTTTGAGATGATTTTCTTTATTGTACACAAACAGAAGATCGATAACATCTGCTCCGAGTAGATGAAAACCTAAAAACTGAAAAGAAAATAATGTGGCATGCATTAAAAGCATATGGATATGAATTAGGATTTGAAAATAAGAGTACGCATAACCAACAGAGAATAAACGAACTATATGAAAAAAGTTGCGGTTCCACCATAAAACCAATTGGTAATATGGGGAGTAGTTCTTAAAATTATTAATTGAATATAATTTTATTGACTGACTTATTTTTCTACATTAGGTCATTTATATGAAGTATCATATAATAATAAACGTAATTTAAAAGTATTATATATTCTTAGTTACTAGCTTAAACTTCAAAGAGAGCATCAGTTTAAGATGTTCTTGTTGATAATGAATCTCACATTGATGAGACAATGAACCTTGTATAGGTTTATAAAGCCATCTCCAATAGAACGAGGGCCAGAGGGCTCGTTCTAGCCATCTGGGCCTCCAAGATATTAATATTTTAATGAACAGTACAATGTCATATTTGTCTCCATCTCCGACTGAGGGCCAAATGGCCATAGTGCTTGTTTTAGCCCTGTCACAAAAAACCGTCTCCAACCGAGAGTCAAAGGGTCATAGGGTCAAACGTATTTTATTATTTAAATTTAATGTTGTTTCATATTGTTTAATGTTGTTTCATGTTACTTAATTTAATTTAATGTTGTATAATGGCTTAGGAAGTTATAGGAAAAAAATAGAATTTACAAAAAGAAATTTGTAAAAAAAGAAAAGCCTACAATTCCTGTCAGATATAACCGACAGAAATAAATACAATGTTGTTGGTTATATCCGACAGGAATAATGAAAATCCATCCAAGCCCGAGGCTGGCTGGCTGGTTGGATTAGGCCAGCCGGTTGGCCATTTGGCCGATTTTTGTCCAGTGGGGCCCATGAGCCCTTTGGCTTAGCCCTCAATTGGAAACGGTTTACGGGCTATTTTCGGCCCTCTAGACCCTTAGATTGGAGATGGCCTAAGAGTTTGGGCTACTCTCCATATCGCCAATTGGTTTTATGGTAGAACATCAACTTTCTTCATGGTATCAGAGCAGGTTATCCCACGTATAAAGACAAACGGCCACACGTGCTCCACATCACCTCGTTGTGTTGTTCACGTGTTAGGCTTAAAAATTCACCAAACGTGTGAGGACGTGTTGAGAATGGATCCCATATTGATGAGATGGTGGATCTTGCATGGGTTTATAAGAGATTGGACTATTCGCCATATCGCCAATTGATTTATGGTGGAACCTCAACTCTCTTCAGTCCTTGTGGCAAATATTCAGATAATTATGCAATGGATAGAATGACATTCCCACATTTGCCCGGTCCCTTGTTCTCTAAGCAGTTACCATCTTCAATGTCATTAATAGAGTGCATTTTTGCTAGCCCTCAAGCCTTGGTGTACCATTACACATAATCAAGCAAAAACGAAGTAGCCAAGGTAACGGTTGTTGGAAAATTTAATAATAAGATTATTATATTAAATTTATTAATTCAATGGAAATTAGAAGTGGAGTCTTTTAGTAGAAAGATGTGTCTACTCAAATGAAGAGTTGCAACTTTTGACTTTTCATGAATAATCACATACTTTCCAAAGAGGTATCTTGCATTCTATAAATAGGGCAGACCCCTATAATCACAAAATAATTTTTCCCATTAAATATTAGAAAGTCTCATAGATTCGATATGAGAGATTTTTCAACACAATCGTGGTTCATGGAGCCCTATGATTTGGAGTGCTACTATTACAAGGACATTGTCGTTTTATCTTGGGAAAAATGCGCTGATGAACCATGAGCACCATAGTGGGGCGTAAACTTGTCTTAAAGACAAAGTGTCCAACATTTGCTTCGACCTTATTTTCTAGGTTTTTTCGAATCCATTGTATCATGTTCATTTAACATTGGTTACTCATGTGCATACATTACTTTGATATATAATTGCATCAATTATTTCTTGATTTTATATGTGATTTAATATAGCAATTAGGATAAACTTTGATGAAACTGCGGAGCTCCAACCTATGTTCTATGATGAAACAGTTTTATCTGCAACGTATTTAGGATAAACTTTACTTTTAATAATTCCTATACTTGGAAATAACAAGTGGGGTATTACAGGATACTATTAATGGGAAGTCACCTATCTTGAGTGCACCTATCTTGAGTGACAAATGAGGCCATTCCCGTGAGAATTTTTTGAAGGGTTTTGTTCTCTAAAAGCACTCATGAGAAACCAAGAATTGTTCAGGGCCAAAATAAACACAACTGAGCAATCACAGGGTGTTTGGAAGGGTATTATGTGATTGCTATTGTCTTCGTTTACACAAACGGCTAAGCAGTTCAAGATATCATGTTCACTGATTAGTTAAGTAAATCCGATAGTAATTCACTACAGAAGGTTCAAAGGCAAAAGCCACCTATCCCGATGCGGTATTTTTTCTATTGAATTCTCTCTCTACTGTCTGCATTGTCATTTGCATGATATTGAGTCAATTTCGATTCATGCGCAGAATTGTTGGAAAATTTAATAATAATAATATTATTATATTAAAATTATTAATTGAATGAAAATTAGAAGTGGAGCCTTTTGATAGAAAGATGTGTCTACTCAAATGAAGAGTTACAACTTTTGACTCTTCATAAATAGTCACATTCAATTAGGAAATTAATTAGAAAATTAATTAATTAATTTTGGTAATTAATCCTATTTTGAATGAATATTTGAGGTTACCTTATGGGGATGATTTGATGAGGATGGATGAAATAGGTTTTGAATAAATACCTATTTTGATCACTTTTAACCTTGATTGAGTGGTGATTGTCTACTGCTCGTGCGTAGAAGTTTCAATTTGTCTCAAGGGTAATCTTATCTTTTTAACCCAAAAATTCACGTGTCGCCTTCATATGTTTTTTTTACTATTTTTGGCTTCACAACCATAATTGCATGTTTTGAAGAGTTGAGGGATTAATGGTTATGAATTTTTAGTTGAAGGACAATTACTCTAATTAGATTAAAGTTGAGGGACCATTGCTACAATTTTTTCAAAATATAATGAGAAAAAGTAAAAAGAATAGCCAAATGTGCTTCTAAAAAGCAGATTATTAAAAAATTTGGAACACCAAATGTGTTTGGTAAAAAAAGAATGGTTTTTAAAAAAATTATTGGTAATGACAGTAGAAAAGTAGAAGCATGGTCCACCATACTTACAAAAAAAAACACATTTTTTTTTTCAAAGCATAGCAAAATGTACCATTTAATGAAATTTCAAATGATAAATGTACCCCCCCTATTCTCTAAAATTACAATCATTGCCCCTAAATTATGTTTTGGCTGATTATATCAAATTTAAAATCCTATCATCTTTAGTCATTTAACATATTCACAACAGTTTTATATAAAAGTTTACCAAACACTTAGACATTCTTTTTTTTGTTAAAAGAGCTTTAACAAAATAAAATAAAAAATTTACCCAACACTCAATAATTTTTTTTTTTTTAAAAAGCACATCAATACCAAACAAAAAAAAATAAAAAAAAAAGGATCAAGCATGACAACAACAAACCCATGCTGTGACTTGGTTATCGCATGCGCCATGTACAGGTTGGAAAACTAAAAGACTTGGAAAGTCTTTGTCTTTAATAGAAAAACTGGAATTCTTTGCGTTAAAAAAACAAAATAAAAGAAATAAAAATCATAATGCAGTTGGAAGTCTGCACCCTAAACTGGTAGTCTTCGTCTTCGTCTTCAACTTGAAGTCTTCGTCTTCGTCTTCAACTTGAAGTCTTCGTCTTCGTAGAAAGAGGTCACCATCCTTGCAAAGTCACACAGGCCAATCAACTTGCAAAATGATGCATAAGAGGGGATAACAAATGCTTTTATCACTAGGTACTAAGAAAAGCCTACTGATTAGGTAGGCTGCTTACAAATTCAACCGCAATTTAGGAGGGAAAATACATCCATCGAAGACTGGACATATCTAAAAATGCCACAAAATAATTTAGTTAAAAGAAATATAAAATAAAACACATCGTGAGTTATTGATTTAACAACCCGAAAAATGAAAGAAAAAACAAAGAAAAACTTACTGTTAAATCTCGAATATGTGATATTAGTGGCGGATTTAGAAAAATATTTTTGATTGTGGGTGAGTCTTTAGCCCTAAGCAATGGTTTTTTGTTTGTAGAATATTCTTTTACATAGCCCAGGCACAAAAGTTTTGAATTATATAATTACCACCACATCAACCATACATAAAAAGACAAAGTTAAAGCTAAAGCTCAAAATGACTCGGTCCTTTTCTTTTTCTTATTATTGACATATCTTCCCAATCAATAAATAAAAAGAAAAGTCTAAAGTTAAAGCTAAAGGAAAAGCATTTTCCTTTGCCTTTTTTTAACTAAAAGATGCTCTTTGAAAATGAAATAAATAAAGCTAAGCTAAAGTTCTTATTTTTTATTTTACGTACGTTTACGTTCTCTTTTTCTTTCTCCACATAGACTTTGACGAGCTGCATATGTTAAAAATCACGAGAGATAGTTAAGTGATGGTAATGATTACAACCCTATTTATTATTAGATGAATTTAAATTTTGAGATTTGTGTATTGGATAGATTGTCACATCCCGGCCCGGGTAGGACCACTTCCCGGGCCCGCTTCCACTACCGTAGCACGATATTGTCCGCTTTGGGCTTACCATTCCCTCACGGTTTTTGTTTTTGGGAACTCACGAGCAACTTCCCAGAGGGTCACCCATCCTGGGAGTGCTCTAGCCCTCTTCTCGCTTAACTTCGGAGTTCCTACGGAACCCGAAGCCAGTGAGCTCCCAAAAGGCCTCGTGCTAGGTAGAGATGGAATATACATATAAGGATCAGTCCCCTGGGCGATGTGGGATGTCACAATCCACCCCCCTTAGGGGCCCGACGTCCTCGTCGGCACATTTCCGACCAGGGATAGGCTCTGATACCAATGTCACATCCCGGCCCGGGTAGGACCACTTCCCGGGCCCGCTTCCACTACCGTAGCACGATATTGTCCGCTTTGGGCTTACCATTCCCTCACGGTTTTTGTTTTTGGGAACTCACGAGCAACTTCCCAGAGGGTCACCCATCCTGGGAGTGCTCTAGCCCTCTTCTCGCTTAACTTCGGAGTTCCTACGGAACCCGAAGCCAGTGAGCTCCCAAAAGGCCTCGTGCTAGGTAGAGATGGAATATACATATAAGGATCAGTCCCCTGGGCGATGTGGGATGTCACATAGATACAATCTCAAACTTTAATTAAAATCAACTAACAATGATAAATAAAATCCTGAGCATTATCACTACTTGAAGGTGGTAAGCAAAAATGCAGTCCCATAAAAATAGTGCTTAACATATACATATTAAAAATAAAGACCAAGTGATGCAAAATCTCGCAAAGACTAATACTATTCCAAGTCATGCATGAAACATACACATTTGTTCCTTCATGCCACTTGGTTATAAGCAAACATCATGCACATGTTGGATTACTAATTAGTAATATTCAGCTTGACATAGACTTTTATGAATAAACTTATAATTTCTAGCATCTAATAAATACCCAAATTAAAAATATTCATCGATATACAAAATGTTCTCATGGAGGTACTCATTTTTTGCCACAGATATCAATATAGAGGCTAAAAGATACTATGATATTAAATCCACATGTGGTCGAGATATTTACGAATTTAACCATTAAAATTCATAAACTCAATTATACATCCAGGTTCGATCATTTTCCGAAGTTTTGGTCCACAATAAAATCTGCTTACCTTGACTTCACCTATAAAACGTGCAAAGGCGATTTACATTTTAACCACAATTCAATGTATTGTGATTTTTTTGTTCGAACACTTTTGTATTTAATATCCATGGTTGAAAATATTTTTTTTTAAACAAACGATATTATCTACGCTAAAGGGAGTGGGTGGGCTTAGCCTCACAATGTGCTAGCAATAATGTGGTTCAAATTCTCCTTTGGTAAGATTCAAACCTAAGACCTCTTACTTACTAGTGAAGAGTAATACTACTAGATCGTACCAAAAATTCTAATGGACGTAACCATTTTTCTACCACAGATAGAAATATATAGGCTATAAATTGCAAAATGAAAATTATTTATTTTCTGTCTAAGTAAGAATCGCGACCTAGGCTGGACTAAGTGGGCGCCTAGACTTGTCTTAATTTTCAAACACCTATAGATTAATCAGGACGGTTGCCAGTTGCCTAGAGCCACCAAGGATTTTTTTAACAGTGGTTAGTATTCTATAACAGTTTTAATATTCTCATTTCTCCAATTAAGTTAAAGTTGAGGGACAATTTCTCTAATTGGGTTAAAGTTTAGGGACTATTGCTACAATTTTTCTCATTTTGTTTTTCATATATTTGCCGCTTGATTTAGCCTCATGTGTGTGGCTTGTGACTCATTTTCACAGAAGTTCTAACGAAGTTGACGAAAATGACCATAACTGCATGTTTTGAAGAGTTAAGGGATCAATGCTTATGAATTTTTAGTTGATGAACTATTGCTATAATTTCCTCAAAATATAATGAGAGAGAGTAAAAAGAATAGCCCCCAAGTCCTAAGAGCAATTTGGGGTTATAGTGCTTCTAAAAAGCAGATTATTAAAAAATTTGGAACACCAAATATCTTTGGTGTAAAAAATTAAAAGAAAAAAAGTGGTTTTTAAAAAACTTTTGGTAATGACAGTAGAAAAAGTAGAAGCATAGTCCACCATACTTATATAAAAAATAAAAACACACTTTTTTTTTTCAAATCATAGCAAACGGTACCCATTTAATAAAATTTAAAATGATAAATGTAGCACCATATTTTACAAAATTACAATCGTTACCCCTAAATTATTCTCTTTGGCTTATTATATAAGATTTAAAACCATATCATTTTTAGCCATTTAATATATTCAAAACAGTTTTATATAAAAGTTTACCAAATGCTCAAAGATTCTTTTTTTTTTTTTTTTTTGGGTTAAAAGAGCTTTTACAAAATTAAAAAAATATATATTTACCAAACACTCAATAATTTTATTTTTTTTTTTCAAAAACACATCAATACCAAAGTAAAAAAAAATAGAAAAAAAGGATCATGCATGACAATAACAAACCCATACTACAACTTGGTTATCGCATGCGCCACGTACAAGTTGGAAAACTAAAAGACTTGGAAAGTCTGTCTTTAATAGAAAAACTAGAATTCTTTGCGTTAAAAAAAAAAAATTAAAGAAATAAAAATCATAATGCAGCTGGAAGTTTGTGCCCTAAACTGGAAGTCTTCGTCTTCGTCTCCAACTTGAAGTCTTCATCTTCGTAGAAAGAGGTCACCATCCTTGCAAAGTCACATAGGCCAATCAACTTGCAACCTAATGCGTAAGACGGGATAACAAATGCTTTTATCATTAGGTACTAAAAAAAGCCTACTAATTAGGTAGGCTGCTTACAAATTCAACCACAATTCAGGAGGGAAAATACGTCCATCGAACACTGGACATATCTAAAAATGCCACAAAATAATTTAGTTAAAAGAAATATAAAATAAAACGCATCGTGAGTTATTGATTTAACAACCTGAAAATGAAAGAAAAAACAAGAAACAAAGAAAAACTTACTGTTAAATCTCAAATATGTGATATTAGTGGCGGATTTAGAAAATATTTTTGCTTGCAGGTGAGTCTTTAGCCTTAAGCAATGGTTTTTTGTTTGTAGAATATTCTTTTTCAAAGCCCTGGCACAAAAGTTTTGAATCATATAATTACCACCACATCAACCATACATAAAAAGAAAGTTAAAGCTAAAGCTAAAAATGACTCAGTCCTTTATTATTGACAGATCCTCCCAATCAATAATTAAAAAGAAAAAGCTAAAGTTAAAGCTAAAGGAAAAGCATTTTCCTTTGCCTTTTTTTAACTAAAAGATGCTCTTTGAAAAGGGAATAAATAAGGCTAAAGCTAAAGTTAAAGCCAAAGGATATAAATCAAGAAAAAGCTAAAGTTTTTACTTTATATTTTACATACGTCTACATTCCCTTTTTCTTTTTCCACATAGACTTTGACAAGCTGCATATGTTAAAAATCACGGGAGATGGTTAAGTGATGGTGATGCTTACAATTTTATTTATTATTATTAGATGAATTTAAATTTGAAATCTGTGTAGTCGATAGGTACAATCTCAAAATTTAATTAAACTCAACTAACAGTGATAAATAAAGTCGTGAGCATTATCATCACTTGAAGGTGGTAAGCAAAAATGCAGTCCCATAAAAATAGTACTTAATATATACACATTAAAAATAAAGACAAAGTGATGCAAAATCTTGCAACGACTAATACTATTTCAAGTCATGCATGAAACATAAACATTTGTTCATTCATGCCACTTTGTTATAAGCAAACATCATGCACATGTTGGATTACTAATGAGTACTATTCAGTTTGACTTAGACTTTCGCAAATAGACTTATAATTTCTGGCATCTAATAAATACCCAAATTGAAAATATTGATCGATATACAAAACGTTCTCATGGAGGTACTCATTTTTTGCCACAGATACCAATATAGAGGCTAAAAGATACTACAATATTAAATTCACATGCGGTCGAGATATTTATGAATTTAACCATTAAAATTCATAAACTCAATTATACATCCAGGTTAGATCATTTTCCGAAATTTTGGTCCACAATAAAAACTGCTTACCTTGAGTTCACCTATAAAACGTGCAGAAGGCGATTTACATTTTAACCACAGTTCATGTATTGTGATTTTTTGTTTGAACTAAGACCTCTCACTTACAAGTGAAAAGGAATACCATTGCATCGTACTAAAAATTCTCATGGAGGTAGCCATTTTTCTACCACAAATAGGAATATAGAGGCTATAAGATGCACTGTTGAAAGTTATTTATTTTATATCTAAGTGAGAATCGCAACCTAGGCTGGTCTAAGTAGGCGTCTAGACTTTTCTTAATTTTCAAACGCCTATAAATTAATCAGGGCGATGGCCAGTCGCCTAGTGCCTAGGCGGCGCTGGGCAGTGATTTTTAGAACAATGGTTAGTATTCAGTAATAGTTTTAATATTCTCATTTCTCCAATTAGGTTAAAGTTGAGAGACAATTTCTCCAATTGGGTTAAATTGATTGACCATTACTACAATTTTTCTCATTTTGTCATAGAGGTACCCATTTTTTAACCACATATACCAATATAGAGGCTAAAAGATACTACAATATTAAATCCATATGCG